GAGGTTAGGTCATGCCTCAACCTCTATTCTTCAACATTTGCAGTTCCTTAAGTCCATTTGTGGTAATGTTTCAAAACACTCTTTTACCGATTGTGATATATGCCATAAATCCAAACAGACAAGAAGTGTTTTTCCAGTGAGTACTACTCATGCTGCTTCTATCTTTGATTTAGTACATATTGATTTGTGGGGACCATACAATACACCAAATGTCTAATTCACCATATTTTATCACCTTGGTAGATGACCATAGCAGGGGAACTTGAGTTTACCTACTCAAACATAAAAGTCAGGTTTATAACACCCTTCATGACTTCATCCAAATGGTTAAAAACCAATTTCAGGTCACAATCAAACAGTTCAGAAGTGATAATGGTCCTGAATTTTTAAGTCGTGAGTGTCAAAATCTTTTTTCTTCACATGGAATCTTGCATCAAACTTCATGTCCATACACACCCCAACAAAATGAGGTGGTTGAAAGAAAACACAAACAAATCCTTAATATTGCAAGAGCTTGTATGTTCCAATCTAATCTTCCTTTAAGATTCTGGCCTTATGCAATTTTTCATTCAGCTTATCTCATTAACAGACTACCTTCTTCATCTATTAATTGGAAAACTCCTTATGAAATCATCTTTGGATTGCCACCAGATTATACCACTCTAAAATCATTTGGTTGCTCTGTTTTTGCCACAAACACAGATCCTCATAAACCAAAATTCTCACCGCGGTCACATCATTGTGTTTTCTTGGGGTATGTTTCTGGCAAGAAGGGTTATAGGCTGTTTGATTTTGGATTCTAATAAAGTCCTTGTTTCTAGAGATGTTCATTTTCTAGAGAGAAATTTTCCTACCACAGAAAATAAAACCCTTTCAGAAACACCTTTACCTATGGTTTCTTCACAAGGTGCAGATGAGTTACCTCAAAATACCTTACCTTCAAATATTGATACTATTGAACCTGATACTCTACATGCTCAGTCAAGACATAGCACCAGACCAAAGAAAACACCTGTTTGGCATACAGACTATGTGCTTACCACTTCTATCCCACCACTGTCTCCTCAGTAAGCAAGGCTTCTTACCTCTGGTAATGTACAAACCTACCCCTTACATACTTTTCCATATTATACAACACCGACTTTACATCCCAACTATGTGTCTTTTTTGGCTAACTTGTCTTGCATTCAAGAACCTAAATCATTCATTGAATCTTGTAAAGTCAAGGAATGGGTTATAGCCATGGAATAAGAGTTGGAGGCCTTAGATAAAAATGATACTTAAGTAGTGGTGGACTTACCTCCAGGTAAACAAGCCATTGGCAGTAAGTGGATTTATAAGGTGAAGTTACATCCTGATGGTACCATTGATAGATTTAAAGCACGACTAGTTGCTAAGGGGTATCATCAAGTCTATGGCATTGATTATTTGGATAGTTTTTCACCGGTTGCTAAAATGGATACCATATGGCTGTTGGTTGCTTTTGCTAGTTTGAAAGGCTAGCATCTGCATCACTTAGACATTAATAATGCTTTTTTGCATGGCTATCTTAATGAGGACATTTACATGACATTGCTTGATGGTTACAATAAGGGACAGAAGGGTCAGGTTTGTCACTTGAAGAAGAGTTTATATGGCCTAAAACAGGCATCGAGGGAATGGAATGCAGAATTCTGTGCACAATTGTTGAAGTTTAGGTTTACACAATCAGCACATGACCATTGTTTGTTTGTTAAAGTTGGTGATGCAGAATTCTTGGCACTGGTCATCTATGTTGATGACATTTTACTAACAGGTTCTCAACCTCAATCCATTCAGGGTGTTAAAGACTACTTAGATGGTCTTTTTACAATTAAGGATCTTGATGAAGTAAAATATTTCCTAGGGGTTGAACTTGTCAGGGGACATGATGGCATTTATTTGAATCAAATGAAGTATATATTGGATATTCTTGCTGATACAAGTATGACATGTTGTAAACCAGTTTCAACCCCTTTATCTAGTGGTCTAAAGTTGTCTTCTACCACTGGAACTCCTTTGCCTAATTCAGATAAATATAGAAGGTTGATTGGGAGGCTTTTGTATGTGAATATGACAAGGCCAGATATTACTTATTCAGTTCAGCAACTTAGTCAATATGTGAGTCAACCTCATTCGGGTCATTGGGATGCTGCTTTGCATGTTGTGAGATACCTTAAAGGTCATCCATCTCTTGGTTTATATTACCCCTCACGGGCGGAGGTTACTTTGAGTGCTTATAGTGATGCTAATTGAGGTTCTTGTCTAGACTCGAGAAGATCTCTGACTGGTTATTGTGTCTTATTTGGCAAGTCTCTCATTGCTTGGAAGACTACTAAGCAAGTGACTGTTTCTAGATCTTCCTCTGAAGCTGAATACAGAGCTCTTAGTAGCACTGTTTGTGAATTGTTATGGTTATCCTATCTTCTTCATGACCTGAGGCTTTCTTTTCCTACTCCAATTCCTTTATGGTGTGATAACCAGACAGCCCTATACATTGTTGCCAACCCGGTTTTCCATAAGAGAACTAAACATCTTGAAATCGACTGCCATTTGGTAAGAAATCAGTATAAAGCTGGTTTTGTTGTTCCACTCAAGATCACTTCCTCTCTACAGTTGACTGATATCTTTACTAAAGCTTTGGGGCCTACTACTTTTCAGTTTCTGCAGTTCAAGCTAGGCCTTGTTGATGTTCACCAAGCACCNTTTACCCTACAAATAAAATGTAATATGACTTCATATATGCGTTGGTTATTAGTGTATACTGGTTAGGACTTAAGGGTATTTTAGTCCTTTCATGTTCTCTGCTTAGTACATATAAATTCCCTTTCCATCTATTGCAATTGTATTGTATAAGATATTATTTCACTGTAAATGAAAATGAAGAGTTCTTCTTCTCCAACTCGCTTTTCTTCTTCTTTTTGGCTCTGCCATTGAACAAAATGGGGCTGCAAATTAAAATAGGGGAAAAACAACAATTAAAGAAAAAATATATAAATATGACGTAGATTTAAATTGTGACATGGAATCTGATGTGTATGATGATGAGTGTCACGTCAATTTTCCGATCAGTCATGTCAGCGTGCCTTGCCCGGAATCTACTTTTGAGACAAAATTGCAATACTTAATAAATGTTTGGTATTTTGTTGCAAAGTTGAAAAAATTGAGTTTTATTTGTAATTAAACGAAAGGTTGAGGTTTTTTATGCAATTAACCAAAAATAAAAATAGGGTTAATTGAGCATTTATTAAAGAAATATTTTTTTTACATATATCTATATATATATAATTACTAGCTAAATTTCTCCAAAAGACGTTTTGCACTAATTAAGTATTTATATTTTTTTATTTATTTTATTATATAACAACTACTACTAACAAATCATAAAGTCACATTAAATGGTATTATAAATTAATTTTTTTAAAATATTTATTTAAATTATTATTATTTTTTAACTCATTAAGCAAGTTTTTTTATTAAGTAGATATATATTTTTTATGATATAACCAAAATTTTTAAATTTTCGTACACAATTGTTATAATAATAATAATTTTAATATTGTTTTATCTAACTAATTGTTTATAATAAAAAAAAGATTGCAAAAATTATATAATTGCAATCGATATAAATATTAATATGTAAGTTAATAGTTTATCGTTCATTTTTACTAATGATAAAATTTATAAAATGTGATATGCTATTATCTAACTTATGATTTCAAATATTACATACACATACATATAACATATAAAATTTTATTTGCATCTGTGCATATGCACATGATCGAATGCTAGTTTTAGAAAAGAATAATACATTGTGGACATATGTTGGTGATATTAGGGATGGCAATTTGGCCCGGACCCGTACTGGCCCGCCCCGCCCTGAGGCATTTGGGGCGGACCTGACCCGCCCTGTTTCCAAAAACGGGCCAGGTCGGGCCAACCCATTTTATAAACGGGGCAGGTCCGGGTACTGAAATCCGACCTGGCCCGCCCTGCCCCGACCTGTAAGTATATTTATAGTGTCTAACTTATATTAGGTAATGGTGTGACCTGGTTTTAAAAACTAAAGCCCATTAGCACAACGTTTTTATGGCCCAAACTCCTACACATATACTAAGTATTAAAATTAGTATTAAAATTAGTATTAAAATTACTAACATAATGGTCAGAGAAATTTACCCCCTCTACTCTTGCTTGTGAAAATAATATCAATTGTACGATAACAGGATTTTTTCATCACAATTACGTACTGTTAATTAGTATAATTATATTTAATTATGGCCATTATGGTCAATAAATACACTCAATTGAAATCGGGCAAGATTTTCGGGCGACGTGCCAATCCACCACATCTACACTCAACCGAAAAGAAAAAAACAAATCTCCCATTATCTCTCCAAATCTCAGTTACAGAGTAAAGAACTCCATCTATCACCAAAATCAGAAAATTCATCTCTGCGAAATTGAGTCATCTTCACCAAAGAAATCTGTCATTATCTCTCAAAGAACTTCATCTATCACCAAAAAAAAAAAGAAAAAACTTCATCTATCAACAAAAAAACTTCATCTCGGACACAAAACAACCAAACTTATATATGTGATTAATTGAAGAATGGCAAAGCGAAAAAGAAGTTGAGGCCAAATCCTCCAACAGTGAAGATGAAGCAAGGATAACTCGCTCCCGATCTCGTCACACACAAGTTCAACCTCTCCCGCGCAAGGTTGTACCAAAAAAGCTCCAATTTCAGAAAATGGAGGCTCCAACCCGTGCCAAAAGACCTAATCCGAAGACCGCTGAGGGTAGGTCGAACGACGATGATGATTTTGTTTCCGAACCATCGAAGCAGACGCCGGCATCCTTCGGCAAAGGCGGCGTCGAATCGAAGGGTGAATCTGCTGTTGTCCACGACGGCGTTGCTGGTGTCACTGATATCCAGAAGAAGATAAAGCGCGCGGAGCGGTTCGGCGTGCCGGTGCAGATGACGGAGGAGGAAAAGTGTAGTTCCCGATTTGTGCGCGCCGCCACGAAGGAGTGTAGTAAACATATACAGAAATAATACGTTAGTTATACATAATTGTGTTGTTTTTTGGAGTGCGGAAAGTTGTTGGCTGAACTTTGTAAATGCCATGTAAAGTATACATATGTTGTTTATCTTATGTATAACTACATTTTGCAGTCATTCAGAATTGTGAATTATGTTTTATCCCGTTCTAGTGTTGTTTATATATTGTTTATCTTATGTATAACTCTACGGTTAATATTAGAGAACTATCAGATCATGTTTATCTAATGTGTGTATATATATATAACTTGAAACATGATATATACTTTTGTAAACTGAAGTATATTACTTGTATATAAAAATTACTTATCCCCGTCATTTTATATACATAACATAAACGTTAAATAAACAAGAAAAAAAAAATCAGATCACACATAAGCATAATAAGTTATACTGAATATAAACAGTAGATAAACAAAATATTATCACACACAAGCCATTGACGAATATATTGATTTTATTTGACAAAGATTTACTTTCTCAGACCAAACATTAGATCAGTGTCCACGCTTTAATTGAAGCATTAAGAAATATGAATACTTTTATCTCTAAACATTTCACCGACCACAATATTAGTATTCATGCATCCATCGACCACAACTCTAACTGTTCTGGCTGTTTATTTTCAGTTTATCTTCCGTATATTTTGCTATTTTCAACATAGTATCTGCAGAATGTTCGACAAATCCTCTGTAAAAACCATCGTCTTCCGAATCTTCTCCATTGTGATGTATAAACACATTCACATCAGTCATGTTCCTGTAAAATAAACAGATTTACTAAATAATTATTCAAGTTTACAGGAATATAATTGTGTTTACTTATTGTATACATTACGTTTAGATATACAAAAGTATGGATTCTAGTATATGAATCAAGAGGAAAAAGCATTTATTTAATGCTCTGATATGGTAATCACACACCAATTTGTTTATTTTTCTAATCATATAAAGCGAGTCTATAAATAAAATCAAACGAAAAGAACTACACACACCTTTCTTATGAATGACCCTCAGATGATACCTCCTTCAACTGCTCGATCAATGATCTAGTCGACCTTAGCGTTTTACTCACAAAACAAAGTTCTCCGATCGATAGCATCTCGCCGGAAACGGCCGCATCCACAATCGGAGAGACGTCTTCGATTCCTGAGAAGTCCAACGGCCGCAGAGGTCTGGTCCAAGAGATGGCGTGTCTCGCCGGACTTCGGCCCAACGGGATGCGTGCTGTACGTGCCGCCGCGAGGCCCGTGGAGGTGCTGAACGCGCCGCCGCGTATTATTGATAACAAAATATGCATTTTTTTTTTCTGATTTTTCGCTTTTTTTTTAGCGTTGATGTCTGGTGCATCTTGCCATGATTAAAGTTTGAATTTAATCATGATATGGAAAGAGAGTAACTCATCAGATATGGAGATATTGAGATATGGAAAGAGAGTAACTCATCAGATTGGATTTAATTGAAATCTCGTAATTTTGCAATAGAAATCATAATAGAATCCTTTATTGATTAAAGTTTGCAATTGTTGTATATATGTAAATATATATACATAAGACTACATGTACGTAATTTTCCCTAATGGTCAAGCCCAAATTAATTGGGGTTTCTTTCTTCATCTCTATCTATGCTGCCACTCCTTCCCTTTCTCCACTCTTCTCAATTGTTGTTGTTCATTGACGGCCTTGGACTGGCAGTGGAGTTTTGCGGCGAAAAATTGAGGGTCAATGAACGGCGAGCGAGCATGTCCCTGGCGCACGTTACCAGCCCAGCCCGCGGGCTTTTGAGAATACTGTTTTCTGAGGCAGGAGCTAATGGGATAAACATAGTCTTGAAATGAGAGAGTGAGGGATGGTCTCAAAAATTTCAAAAACTTGAAAAGTTGAAGTATGTATGAAGAATTTTGGTGTTCTTTGATTTTTTTTTTTTTTTTTTGGGATTGGATTTGGATTTTCGTTTTGGGATGGGTTTGGACAGGTAGGCCAGGGCACGGGGCTGGACAGTTAGACCCGTCACGGGTCACGGGCCAGGTCGGGGCCATGGGGCAGGGCTGCGGGCCAGGTCCGGGTCTGTAACTACCCTGCCCGACCTGACCCATTGCCATCCCTAGGTGATATAGTAAATGTCGTAAATATGTGTATGGGTAGGATTTGCTAACTTTAAAATTGATGTGATGTGTAAAAATATATAATCTTCTTTCTTTTTGTTTAACACGTAAACACTCTAAAAGGGTGAGGGATTAAGGTTGGATTCTCAATCTGTATATAATCAAGACCCTAAATGGGCCGAAAAAGTCACAGGTGTACACATGTCCAAACAACAAACGAAAACAAAAACGAAAAAAAAAAAAGAAAAAGCAATAACCAAAACGAAAAGTGTGAAACTGGGCTGACAGGTGTCCAGGCAAGCAGTCTGCACCACAAAAGTGGGCCAAAGTACAAGAAATACAAAAAATACAACACGGCTACCGAAATCTGATCGAGGAGTAGTCATCATGGTCCATCCACACGAGAGTACGGAGGCGGAGAGGGGCGTCGTCCGAGTGGAAAGTGCGCGTCTGGAAATGGAGGCACCGAGGCTAGCTAGGTAGTCAGCGAGTCGGTTCCCCTCGCAAAAGATGTGCGAGATTCGGTAGCAAACCGACTGAAGTGTGGATCTGATGCGCATGAGTGGGTGTTGAATCTGCCACGAGCCCTGATGGCCCGAGGTCAAGAGGGTGGCGATAGCAGTAGTATCCAACTCAATCCAAATATGAGTAGAGATAGAGGCTGCAATCTGAAGACCGATCTGAAGTATCTGAACTTCCGCGTCGTAGCTCAAGGAGGCCTGAAGAGGAGCGTGGAAGGTGGTAATGAGAGCTCCGTTGTGATCCCTAATCAGGCTCCCCACTCCAACGACTCCGGTGAGTTAGTTGAAAGATCCGTCAGTGTGCAGTTTAACCCAAGCGGAGTCGGGTCTCAGCCAAACAATGGCTCTGGGTCGTTGTTTGTTGTATTTTTGTGCTCATTTTTCTGTGATTTTTGTGGTGAGTCGAGTCATTTATTGGCTCTTACTTGTGTCGTGTCGGACCATTTTGCTCGTTTTTGTCATTTCGTGTGTTTAGTGTTGTTTTTTGTCTTTCGTTGCTTTTCTGGTGTTTTGTATATCTAATGGAAGGAGATCGATTGGGAGTATCGTCTTTATCGAGTGGCATTTTCTGCACTAGCCTGTTCACGACCCGGACGCCAATCCACGACCTTGCGAAAGTCCCTAGGAGCACGGCAACTCGCTAGCCTAAGGCCATCTCGCGACGTTGCGCGCGCCAGGCCTCATTCTGCGACCCCGATGCGATTTTGTGATGTTGCACGTGCCTGTGCCAGTGCCAAGTCCACGTTTCGCGACCCCGATGCCATTCCACGACGTTTCGCGTGCCCGTGTCCGTGCCAAGTCCGCAATCCACGACCAGAATCCCTATTTCGCAACGTCGCGGGTTCTATTCATTACATGTGTGTTTTTAGTGTGTGTTTGTGGTGTAGCTATATATAGACATCTTGCTTTGTATTTTCGGTGACCACCCCTTATTTCTCAACTTTTTAGTTGGGAAAATAGCTCTTTTTCTCTCTTTTTATTTTTATACTTTGGTTTGGAGATCCAAGACTTGACATTTTCCGGCGACCTTATTTTCATCCAAAATTCGATATTTACACATTATTCTTGTCTGAGCTTGCGGTAGGAGGGTAAGTACCTTGATTAGAGATTATTGCTTCGAGTTTGTGTTTTGGCCGGAATCTTGTGTGATGCTTGATTTTAGGACTTTGCTATATTTTCATTGCTTGTTCAAGTGTGTTAAGAATTCAATACGTGTCTATCTTGTGTAAAGGTCTCGATTTTGCTCAAAGCGTGATGATTTAGTTAAGAAGGCTCGTGTTAGATTACATAGGATCATTTTGCTCGCATGTTTCCTCTTCATTTATTTAATTTTCGTCAAGTTATGGAGACTCCGGTCAACCAAAGTTCTAATCTTTCTTTCAAAACTTGCATCTTTCATCATTTGTTTTCATTTGCTTAGTTTAATTTAGTTCAAAACTTCAAATCAACCCACAACCAAGCGAGTAGCATGTTTAGGACCTTATTTTTGGTTTTGTGAATTGACGACTAAATAGTGAACGAAGCTCCGAACAATCTTCCTTCGAGAAGACGACCTGAGTGAGATCTTTCGATCGTACTCGGCTAAAAATTACAAACAACATGGCGCCATTGTCGGGGAAGGCGAGTAGGACGTCAAGTTTACTATCTAGTTGTCGTTTGTTTAAGTGTTTCTCTTGCTTTTTGTGGACTTTGCTTAATTTTGCGTGTTTCTCTTGATTATTTACTTATTTTCTATTTCTCTTACTTTTTGGTATGTGTATTTTTTTAATTATCGTGTCGTGCTAGTTGTGTTTTTGGTGTTTTTTTCTTTTCTTTTGCCTCGTGTGTCTTTGGGTTGTTTTGTTGTTCTTGTGCGAGGTAAGTCGTTTAAGGAGCACCGATGGATCTATACGACTATTCTTATGCCGGTAGCTCATCTCGTGGATACCCCAACAACTACCATGGGGAGATGCATTCATATAGAGGGCCCCCCCATACGTATCCGAGCTATTCAACTCCTTATTGCTATGACGGATACTCTACATTCCAAGGGTATGGCCCGAGCCATGCTTACCCGGCATCTCGGGACGAATATAGTGATTACATTACAGGTCACGACGAGACACATTATTACAGTCTTTCATCTTCGGACTACTATCCTCCGCCTCTCGATTATTGTGATGCAACACCTTCGCCCGAGCCGATTCGAGAAGCTTCTCCAAGCCGATTACACAAAATTACGGAGCAATTGGAGAAGAGTCCCTTCGCGCTTCAATGGCTCCCATGTCCAAAAAAGAGAAAACTGAGTTTTATGCTCCATCCTCTCCATCATATGAGCATCAATCAGTTGGCCAACCTTGTACATCGAGTTCCGAAGCTTCATTTCCAACAATGGTTGTGCCTTTCGAACGTCACCAAGAGGTTTTAACGAGCACTCAAGAGGCAGTTGCGAGCCTTATGTCGATCATTGAGGAATTTCATAGTTGGAGTTGTATACTTATTCCATCCGTTCTTCAAGCAACACTCATGAAGTTCGACTCTACCTTGTTTTTTTTCCTTGATTTGGACGCATCTCACATTTCGCTCGGTAGATATTGTTCTCTATCCGCGAGAGTTATTCGAAAGAGTACTAGGTTAGAGAGTGAGTTTCGAGCTATGGTGGATCGGTTTATTTCCTTGAAAGAGATGGGCCTCACTCTCGTTTATTATGGAACACAATCTCTTGACACGAGTGAGAACATCGATGATTTGGTTGTTAAAGAAATATTCTCCTTTTGACGATTCCGCTGTACCATTTACACTAGGTATGTCAAACTTCTCTTCCGGTGATTGTGCTTTGAGTTCGATTTCTATTGTTGAGAGTGAGTGACCGGAACCGAGAGTTGATATGGTGTATGGTATGGGGGAAAATTCATTTGAGGTGTTGGTTGTGCCTATTCATGAGTTGGATGAGTCGAACGGTTTTGAAAGAGCTCGGGAGGATGATATTGAAGAGGAGGAGGATATGTTAGTTCATGATGTTATGGATGATATTGAGATGGATGCCGAGTCCTTATGTGATGTCGTTGACCCAAAGTTTGCGTTGATTGATGATTCGACTCGTGATGTTGAGTATGAAGTGGTTCTCATGTCCTTTAGGTCGTCGTTTCGTGTTATTGAGGATCGTGACTATTTGGAGGAGTTTAGTGCATCTACGTCCATGCTTCCGATGCTTGAGATTGATGAGTAAACATCCGAGATCATGCAAATGATGGTCGGGATCGATTCGACGTGCTCCACGAACATTTTCATATTTCTGGAGGTCGAGTATGATGCCTTGGTTCGTAAAGACTTATCTCTTCTCTTGGTGGTTGTTGATATCCATACTCGATTTCACGAGAACTTAGCCACGAGAGTGTATTTGGCCCGCTTTTGTTTTGTACTACCGTCTCATCTACTATTGGAGAATACAAAGGCGTGGCATGATCGACATTTCTTTTTAGATCCAGGTTGATTTTGGTTGGAAACGTCGAGCTCAAGACGTTAAAAGAAGTGCTTCGTGGGAGGCAACCCACGTTTTTGCTTTTTTTCATTTTTCGTCTTTTATCAGAAATAAATAGTCCCACAAATCACACGACACACGATATTTTCAAAGAAGGAAACGGGACTCGGACCGAGATTTTGTTGAGATTGGGTTGAAAAATGGGGAAGTGTTAAAAATTTGGGCAAAGTGTGGAAATTAATGAGAAGCGCTCGTGCCGACCTGCTCGGCAGTACTGACTTGTTAGATCCGAACCAATTTTTTTTTTAAAAAAAAAAGAAAAAAAAAACTAAGTAAAATCGGGCGAGAATTGTGCTCATAAGTTTGGGTTGAGTTGAAGGTGCGAAAATCGTTAAAATGTGCCTAAGTATGGATTTTGAACTAAGAGTGTCCTAAACTACCATTCATGGTCTGACTTGCGATTCGCAGCCTGGCGAACTCGAATTCGCAGCATGAACCGCATTCCGCGACCCCGCGAGTTCACAACCGCCTACCCAGGCCCTTTTCTGCCCCTTTCCGTTCGCGACCCGAATTGCAGTTTGCGGCCTCGCGAGTTTTAACTTGCGGCATCGTGAGTTCAGACTGGCGTGCACCTGCTCCTTGTGCACCATAACGCCCGCGACCCGAACTGCTTTCTACGACGCCACGACTGCAATTTCCCACGCCGATGCAAATCCGCAACCCCACGAACCCTCAAGGTGAGATGGAAACCCTAGAACCTATTTTCCACCATCTTCTTCCACAAGTTTTTCGCCCGCCATCCGCCACCGCGCGCCGCCGCCGGCCGCCATCTTTTCCGGCCTACTTCTCCGATCATAAAAAATTTTACATCGACATGTAGCTCTCCTCGGCGTCGACAACATATTCGAATTTTCGATAACTCGAAGGCCAAGTACGAGGTCGTCGACCCAAGACCGTTCAGGCCCACATTTTGTTATTGTCACACTTATATACCACTACAACATAAATGGTTTTGTTGTATATTCATTGCAATTAAAGATTAAATTGGTCAAAAAATAAAAAATTTAGGGATTATTCGTATATTTTTTATGGTTAGCATTGTACAGATGACAATGACCACAACCCCTCCCCCTCCCCTATGAGGTTTTAGTCTTGCACACTATAAAAATGATTTTATCCCAATCCGACATAAACCATGGCCTACAATCTTGGCTAACAAACTCAGGGTCATGCTAGGATTAATAGGGTAATCATGTCTTCTCATAGACAACAAAGAAGCTCTAATGCGAAAACTTAGACTGCGTATATTAATGATCTCAAACCTAAAAAAATGTGTCATACAACTTCTTGTAGCAACTAGATCGTTCAGAAACTTCAATAAAAAAAAGTAATAATAATAAATAATTGATAAAAAGAAAGGTAATAAACAAAATTCCCATACCTGATTTTCTTTCGACCTCAGTTCTGATGAACAAATCTGCAAAAAAAATATGAGAGGGATTTCAAAGAAGGTGAATCTCTGAAAATGGCGCTACCGTCCCCGCCAAAGGCTTTCCCACCCGTCGAGGGAGGAAATCAATGCCAAATAGGTTAGGTTTTTGACGAGTTGACTTTCAAACAGACTTTGAAAAATTAGAAAGTGAGCTTTACGGTTTGAAAATTTAATTTATCCATGTCAGCATAAAAAGACCCTTAATATTATAGATTGAAGAGTAATTTTTGTAATCACTTTATAATTTTTATAATTTAATGATATAATTAACATTTTATTAAGTTTACATCTAACATTGGAGATGCTCCTACAAAATATTCAACACACAGCGAGTACAAAACCTTTGTCGTACTCTCACAAGCCAACAAATTCCTCAATTTCGTTTGAATTTTATCTCTTTTACTTTTCCTCTTTTCTTTTTCTGCACTTTCTTAATTTCTTTTCCTTAATTTATAATCTATCTCTGTAGTTATCCTTTCGGCCATTTCTGTTCCATAACGCCATTCTCAAACACTCAACCATATATTCAATCTCTCCTCGAGACTCCCGCTATCGAAACTGCAGAGAACAAACCCAAATTTCAGAGCAATTTAAAGGGCAATTTCTTGTGTTCTACTTAATAAAGTTAAATTCTGATTGGAATCGAAGGTGATCAGGTTGTTACAGATGGCATCGTCGAAGGTGATGGCTTCGTGGTCGCCGACCAATTCGGACCGCCCACGTCAGCCCTCACCGCCCCGGTCGAATGTCGACCCCGATCCGACCCGGGGTTTCGGCTCCATGAACTTCGACGACATACTCAGAAACATCTGCTCCGATTCTCAGCCCTTCGCGCTCGACGGCGACGGCGGCGGACTGGGGGATGGTGTCCGGGAGGAGACGGTCGCAGAGGTCTGGAGGGATATGGTGAGCAGCGGCGCCGCCGCCGGGGGAGGGGGCGACGGTCCGGCCATGACTCTGGAGGATTTTCTGACTAAGGCGGGGGCGGTGGATGAGGAGGACGTTAGGGTTCCGGAGATGGCGGCGGTGCCTCCGCTGCCAACTGGTGGGTTTGTGATGGAGGCGGCGGTGATGAGCCCCGCTGCTGGTGTCCCAGCGGTTCAATTTGCTCCAGTGGAGCTTGGGAACGGGATAGCGGCGGCGAGTGGCAGAGGCAGTGGTGGCGGAAGGGGGAAGAGGAAGGCGGCTGTGGATCCGGTGGCGCTGGACAAGGCCACGCAGCAAAGGCAGAGAAGAATGATTAAGAACAGGGAGTCAGCTGCTAGGTCCAGGGAACGAAAGCAGGTATTGAGCACAGGTTTAATTACTGAATCAAGTTTAATTTTTTATCTTTGAGCTTGAGCTTTCTGATTCTGTTATTTTCCCCTATGATGTTGCTTTTTCTTCCACTTGGCCTTGCAAGGCTTATACTGTGGAATTGGAGACATTGGTGACGCAGCTGGAGGATGATAATGCGAGGCTTCTGCAAGAAGTGGTATGTGTCTTTGTCATTTTCGATCATTTTTTGTTGTTTTTTAATTTTTGTATGATAGAGCCCTTGATTGGCATTTAATTTAAATCTCTCGGATGAATTTGTCATATGATTTTCAGTTGATTCTTCATACACAGAATGAGAAGTATCACGATCATTAAATGCATGAAATCTAGCCTCTCCAAAAAGACTTCTAATCTCTGATCAATATATGTATTCCCTTCTTCAATAAAGCATTGTGAATTTGTTACATTTTCCTTATATAATTTTTAATAACAAGCTTTGAAGCCTTTTTCTAAGTCTTTCTTTATTTTTGTATTTTTTTTCTTCTCCTTCGATCAATAAGTTCCTGCAATCTATGCCTTCATCATGATACTGTAGAGATGAAAGTATCTGATACTGAATCTTGTGTTTACTTTCTTTATAGTTACTCGTTTTGAAACACTTTGTGACATATAGAAAGTTTCTAAATGGGTCTTTTCTTTTGTAGGCTGAGTTGAACAAGGAGAGATATGAGCAGGTACATAATTTCGCATAATCTTCAAGTGGTTAATTTGTTAAAGGTTCATCCATTTTTTCTGCATAAAGTCCTCTGCTACTTGACTACAGAAAGTATGATTGGATGGCCTCCTGTTTATACATTGTTTAAATATTATGTTTACGAAGGAGGATATCTTCTGTGTAAAGTGGTTATGTATTTCATTTCCGCTTCACGACTACTGTCAGCTCACCTAATGGGTCAAAATTGGTTGGTTGGGTTAATTTTAACGTCCAATTTTAACCTTAAAGTCATATAACAAAGTGTGTACTTGGGGTGAGATTTTGAAACCGGGAAACCGAACTGAACCAAAATAAGACAGATGAGTTGGGTTTTTAGTAATGCTGAACTTATTGTGGTTTTTTGGTTCAGTTATTTAAGCTCAATGATGGTCCGGTGATTTAAACTCAGTGATCAAGGTGATTTAAACTAGGCTATCAGTTCCGGTACTCAGTTATTTTCAAAACATCTTTTCCAAAACTGAAGAACGTGAAATGTTAGACAAATACAGCCCAACCTTTACCCATCATCACATGACCCAATCTACTCAATTCAAATATACGGCCTGAAGATAGTTTTTATTTTTTATTTTATACCAAATAACAATTAAACAAAATTGCATCATAAATTCATTTTATGTCACAATCGAAAATTCAAAGATTTTTTCCTTGTAGATGGTGTCATATAATCTTGGGTTTTCGGAGTGTCTTTTGTAACATGATTTTTATCTTTAAATTCATGATTTAGTTTATTGTGTTGTGATTGATTTGTGAAAAATGAAAAGAGTATATGCAATCAGCCTACACAAATAGGTGAGACCCAGTTTCTATTCCTTCGAGGTTTACCATAAAACCGAAATTGCCAAACTGACTGATATGGTTCCAAATCGGTTCCCGGCACAAACTATAACTAACCGAATCGAAAATTCACATATGATAAGTTGATAACGAGTCCTGTTTCTACAATTTTAAATGATACCTGAATCAGTCCCATAGTGCATATGCGTACTTTTACAGGGAAATGTTGTATTTGACTATTTTTCAATAACAACATAAAGTTGTAACTGCGTATTGGCGTGTGTTTGGTGAAACTAGGTTTACTGTTGTTGCTAGGAATCTTGACTTGTTCAATCAAAGAGAGAGGTATACAAAATGTGTTCTTGGCCTTTGGCACAAAATAAGTCACTGCATTGCTACCAAACAAACTTGTTACATAGAAATTGTAATTTTAACAGTAAATCTGTATCCTTGAGAACAAAGTGTGGTCGCATCAATGCAATTTCTGTGCATTTGCAAGTTTGCTCTTTTTGGCTTGGCCATGGCATTTCCATTTTCTTTTCATTTTCATTTTCTTTTTTTTTTTTTTTTTTTTTTTGTACTGGATTTTCAGATATTTATTCTTGATGGTTTTGAGTACATAT